AAGTTGTTGGGAGGATCTCTTACTTCCTCACTACTCTTAGTTTTATTAAAACATAAATTCTCTGATCGACTGCAATTTAAACAAATGCACTTGTCAAAACTCTAATGAGATGAGAAAACTTTGACAGGAAGGTTTGGGCCTATCCTTGTCTTTGCCGAGTTTTTCTGCAAAGACCGTGCTGAATGTGCTTTGGAGTTGTTTATCACAATGATGTTGGAGTAAGCCACAGCCCATGGTGTGTTACTAGACTCACAACACACAGAATCTCAAAGAATTCTGTTTGCTGTGGACATATATACTTGCCTTCTTCAGACTGAAGTTTGGTTATCTCATAAAACAGTTACCAAACAAATTGAATTTAATCTGAAAAATGCTTAATGGAAATTAAGCTGTTTGGTTTATATCTGCCATGAGATCACAGTAGTTTTCACATAGTCATTAGAATTTTTTTCTACATTACTAAATTAAACTTGTTTTACTATTGTTTATTTCCCACCCTTTGATGTTCTAATGTTAAATTAATAGCTATAATCTTTCTGAAGATTTAATTTAAAATAAATTAATTAACTTCAGTGCATCTTGGTAGATATTAATTGCAACATCAATTCTAGCAATCAATAGTTCCTGGAAAATAGACCAACAATTATTGCCTTAATTTGTAACAATGTAGGAAGCGTTTTGTAATTTTTATATTGCTCTATTTGATGGCAGAATTCTACCTAGCATGCTCAGGACTTCAAATAGTGGTCATTATTCAAATGTGATTCTTCTTCCCATACTATTGTTAACTATTAAGCATGGATGAATCATGTCTTCAGTTAATACAATATAGTTGTAACTCAGTGCACTCTGTTTAAATTGAATTTGTGCTACAATTAAATTTGGACTTCAGTGATAAATATCTACATTTTCAGCAGGTATTTGTGGAAAAATTGAATAAAATTACTTCTTTTTGTGTCAACAAATCTCATTAAACTATGCTGGGATTTTTGTTTATTTTACCCTTTTTGTCCATTTTATTCAGTGGACTAGGCAATCATCCTTGTAATTGAATTATGAACTTTATCCCATCTCCAAATGAAGTCTGTGTTGCTGATAGCCACAGCAACCTAAGGGCCACTAGATATAATGACTCATTGAAATGGTTTGGGTGCGGATTCCAATTCAGATAAGGAGACAATATTTCGTATTTGGAGCTTATCTTGAATGCTCTGAGTCTGTCAGAATTCTTTAAAGATTTCCTGTGCCTCTGAAAACTCATCTTCAGACCAGAAAGAATTATAAAGTGAAAAATTAATGGAGTAAACTATTAAATATTTTTAATGTATCTTAATTGGGTTTGATGACACAAAACAGCAAAAATTAATTCCAAGTCATTCATTCATAAGTGTTAAAATTCAGGTTGAGATGCTGCATTCTCAAAATTTTAGATCATTTTCTTTGTGCAGAATGGAACAACTTTTCCTTACTGTTTAAACATGCTACTATGCTATAGAATTTTTTTTTTCCTAATAATTGAGGGTTTATATTTCATAAGTGTGCAGATAAAAGTGTAGCCTGGAGTAAAATATAATAAGCAGGTGTATATTCTATGAATATAGGTAGATATGCAAATTAGGATCACAGTTATCTCTAGTTGTGTCAGGTATAATTACAGTATGTCAAAACAGAATCATTTTTAACCAGGTTATAAAGACCTTAGAATGATTATTTTAGATAATTATACCATATACTTTATACTTTTTACTGTTTTAGATAATTATACTATATACTTTATACTGTTTTCTAGATTTATGTTATATTTCCCATACCTTTCAGCTAATACCCAAGTAGCTAGCCATCTGATTCTATTAATTTTATATATATTTCTGGGAGGGTTGGGTAAATTGAAATATAACTCTGTTTTTTATTAAGAAGCTGTGGTTTACAGGTGTTATGCATACAGATAATACATTAGGTAGTGGTAATTAAGGCAGCTGATGAATGTATTTTTTCCTTGGAGGCCAGGATAGGTTACATACATTAGTTCACCTAAAAGTTCTACAGGAAAAGAATAACTTTCCTAAGGCATTTTGCATTATAGAATGTTGAGTTAGTCTGTAAAGTGATTTATTTAGTATCCTGAAAATGTGCTGGTCAAATTTCTAGGACAGGAATTATAAACTCTGTACATTTCCCTATGGACCATTTTAAATATTTATCAAATCACCCTGAAAAGATGCTGGCAAAGATAGACACATGGCCCATAGTTGTAGTGATTTCATCAGCAAAAGCTATATTTTCATTTAAGAATTAGTGGTTTTGTTATTCAGAAATTCTACGTATGTATGTATTACCAGTGGATTGTTTCAGAATTTTGTTTTTCTTGTGGTCAATATCCCTGGATTCTGAAAGGGCTGAACTTCTTGCTAGTCTTTTTGCTCTGTAGTATTAAACCACGGATTTCTGCTGTGATAACTTAAATTTTTGTAACATGCTATATAATGATAGCAACGAATTGCTCAGGTTGACAAACCAATGTACTGATGGTACAGAGCATTATAGCTTTTACTGGTGGGGGAAAAAGGAAAAAAAAAAGGTGTAGTTCCACTCTGTGAATCTGGTTGGGAGGAATTATGTGCTCTGAGATTCTGCCCCCAAAAAAGGGAGTCTTCAGCTCTGCACTCACAAAGACAAATTGACTCAAAGTAGCCTTTTTTGAATTCCGAGTGCTACAGTGTCACAAATTAATATAATTGCATCTGTCGCAAGATGAATAATCTTACTCTTTTTAAAGTATATGCTACTTCACAAGACTGTAAGAATAAAAACAGAATAAAGCCTATAGCAATACAAATTTTTACTGTTTATGTCTACTTGAAAATATGTGTATTTTTGAAATAAACCCTTTTTCTATCCTGAAAAAGATGAGATTCAACATCCCTCAGCAGCTATTTTTTTGCACCTAGAGATTCCTTTGGGCTGCTGTCAGCTACAACGTATTGCATAGGTGCTTTTCATTAAACTCTTTATAAAATGATTAGCCCCAAGGAAGACAGTGTGATGTTACAGCCTGCACTTGTAGGCACTTCTGCAGCTGAATTGTATATTTTGAAATTTTATCAAATGGTGAGCATAGAAAATCCATGGGATTAAACAGACAAGCTGTTAATAGGGATGCTGTCTAAGCTCTATTTGTAAGGAGTATTTATAAAGATTTTTTTTTATTAGATTTTCATTTGTTGGATTGTATTCTAGCAAGAAAAAGACTGTGGCAAAATATGGACCAAGTTACTAATGCTATATGTCTTTCATTACTTGTTAGACAGTCTGAGTCTAACATACTTTCTTCCTTTTCTAATAAAATAACATGTTTGTTTTGTAAGCAGAGTTTCCACATCAGAAATTTGTGACAGGAAGGTGGATTGTGGAAGGTACCTTTGGACCAAGGGTGTTTGTCATGTGAGAATGGTTATGATTAATTTTAAAAAATTAATTAATTAATGAGAAAAGTTACTAATTGCTTCCAAAGATACAGAAGTACAGTAACACTCTCAGTATGGCCCAAACTCTTTTAACATAGTAATTTAAATGCCATGGATGCTTCTTAGTTAAGAGGCAACAACACTTCTGAAAATGTAATCTTTGGAGAGTGATTGCTCCCTTCTACAGGCAGTGTTTTATAGTGCAGATTTTGACATGGATTTTTGAGAAGTTATTTGTACCCAAGAATTTTCCTTATATTATGAATATTTAGAAGAGGGCAAATTCATCAGTGCCTTGTCATCTGTTTGGGAAAGCTTCTTGAAAGAGGTGGAAGCCAGGAAGTCACTGGGGTAGAACCTTCCAGGCGCAGGAAAACCCTGCTGGCATTTAAGCTGTATCCTACTAGATAGAGTCGAGTCTGGAAGAAACCTTTTTCCAGGTCAAGAGAGGAGTTCTTTAAATAAAAAGAGTCTTTGAGTTAATGGCTGAGGAGCAGGGCCACAGCAATGGTGGTGAAGGCAGTGTCCATCAGGATTTGGGGTATGTGTGAGGGGCTGCAGAGAGCATTTTGTGGTTGCACTTCCACTACCAGGGCAGCAACAACTGTGCAGGTTTCACTTCTCTTTCTCATTTTAGTCTGCACAGAGGATTTAAAACACACCACCTGTTAGCTCTAGTGCAATATGCTTCATTTCCTTTAGTGTGTGCGAGGCAGTTAAGGGCATGAGAAAGAGTATTTAAGGGTTTCCAGAGGACTTTTAGTCTTCTGGACTTTTGGACTTCTGGAATCGTCTTCTGCCTATTTCAGAAACTTTAGGATTAGCCTTTTATTTTTTTTTCTGGAAAAAGTAGAATTTTCCCCTTTGTATTCTCTCATGTGGTTAAAGATAATGCCTTCATGACAATAAATCAATAAAGCCATTTATTTACCTGAAGAAAAAAGGTGCATAGCATAGGCTACCTCAACCTAGGGAGCTGATTTTCTTCATATATCTCACTTTTTCACCATATTCTTAGCCATTTCAAAAGATTTTTTAAGGATTTTAGAAATTCCAATAAACATCCTTATTCGAATTATAATTTCAGTGTGTGCTAGCACTGTCAAGTGTTTTATCACAGAAAGGGCAGTAAAAATTTTCTCAAAGCCCTGCCACATGAACAGACCCTTAACAGTCCCTAATGAGAAATCCACCTCATACACTAGAAGAGAAGCTGAAATGTCACTTCTGGCAGCTGAAAAGGTACAGTTAGCCCAGGTTTTCCTCTAAGACAACTATCTGAGAGGGCAGATGTTTCAATAAAAATGTTAAAAGTAAAGCATCTCTTTTGTGCCTCAAAGTCCCTAATTAATTAGTGGAGTTATTGGACCTTGGTGGTACTTCTTAGTCCTACCTACTTCTTAGCTGCACCTTGGGGCAGCTCAAAACCAGGCACTGAACAAATGGTAGGCGACTGTTTGGGAGTGACTCCAGGTAAAGAAAGCATTACCCCAAAGAGCTCTCTGTGGAGGAAGAAATGTACAAATCAGAGAGACAGTAACTACAACTCTTGCTTTATTAAATAGAGGTGATATGGATCTGTCCTGATAACAAGGACTGCTATTTACAACTGTGTCATTTGTCATCAGAAGCAGAGCCAAGCTTGCAGAGCCAAGAATATGGATCATGAGGGTAAGAGGGAAGCAAAAGGATTTTTTTAAATTTCTTATTCATGGTTTCAGATAAGTGGCCATTAACTGACTCACTGCGGTGTTTTGTTTATTGGTTTGTAAGTAAAGAAAGGGAGCAGTGAAGGAGTAAGAGGTTTCTTTTTGGGATTTTTTCCCCCCTCCCCAGCACTCTCTGGGAATCCTTTTGATGTGAGATCAGCTTTCTTGTCTTGACAGCTAGCAATACATAAATGCGTGCACATGCATGGCAAGGGTCATTTGCTGCTGCTGCTGCTGCTTCTCAGTACTTTACTTTTCTCTAGGAAGCATCTTTAAAAATAGCTGAAATATTGATGTTATTAGTACACATTGCATCAAATGCCTAGTGAGTTATTTTCTGGCTATATGAAAGGATGTACCCTAATACATATGTTCATACAGTGCAACCAGTGTCAAAATGGTATGTCTGAAAACACAAGGCTTTTATTTTGCTGATTTGGTCCGTAGTTATCTTGACAACAAAAGAGCTGGTTCCTCAGCTTTATAATAGTCGTTTCAGAGCTGCAGAAAGAAGATAAATACGAAGATATTAGAGAAGGAAAGAACCAGTTGTTCACTATACGTGACTAAAGCTTCTCCAGCCTGAGTGACTGTGAGGCCTTCAGTCTACCCATGCGCCAAGAATCAGAGCTCACAGCCCTGTGTGTTCCCAGAATAATATTCCACCTAATGGAGCTCTTTGTCATGAGAATTTGCTGTAAGATATTGTTTAATCTTTGAAATTATGACAACTGTTTGCAGACTTTTCTCTTGCAGGCTTTTTGTCCTTTTCAAGCAAGCCAAAATTCAGGAACAAAAGATTAGAAATCAAATGTTCCTTTCTTGGGCACTGCTCCAGTGGTTGCCATAGAGTGCTATTTGCAAACAAAAAACTAAAATTATCAAATAAATGTGTTATCTCAAATGCAATTGTGGGTGAATTTTACTTTTTTGGAGGTGAAAATTGAACTTTAGTTCTGAATTGTTTGCAGCCGATGGGAAAATCATCACAAGGTAGTGCTGCCCTTCACACTGTTTGCTTTAGCAAACCTTCCTGACCTTTTACAATTTGGTTCAAGGTCTTGACGACCACAAAGAATAATGCGATTTGAACTATGAAGTAGAAATATCTTCCTTCTGTGTATAGATATCTTAATATTTTTTTTTCTTTTAGCTATATGAAGGGGGTTTTCCCTGATGAAGGTCAAATTATCTAATTTTGATAGGCAATGCTTGCATTGTGATCATATCTAAAGATGTGACTGCCTTAATAAAATTTAACTGGGTTGGCAGTTTTCATCTCTGAAGCTATGTGTCACCTTGTGAGTAAGTCTTTAACATGTCTACAAGAGCTTGCTTATTCAAGTAAATTTTAATTTACTGGTCCTTAAGATTGGAACAGTATCCTTGAACAGCATCTTAAGGAAGAAATATCAATATATTACTTTTAAACTTCTCTCACTCTCTGTGTTTCAAAGTCCAAACTTTTTTTTCCCCACCTTTTTCCCCAGTGAAATAATTTCCCATCAGTGAAATAATTCACTAAGGAAGGGTGCTCAAACCAAACATATTAGCCACATTTTGCTATTTTTCTCCTGGTGATATTAGAGCCCATCGATTTCAATAAGTGTTTGTGACCTGTTATTCACTGGAATATCAGTATCAACTGCTAGTGTTGTCATGGGGTAAATGTTGGCAGCTTTTTAGACACTTCTACTTGGTTGTGATTTAAAGCCATAGCAAACTTCAAATTTTGCATTACTTGGTGTGAAATCATAAATGTGTTGTGAAAACATAAATATGTCTAATCATGCCCTTAAGGAAGCCTTCTGAGTAAGCTCATTTACTATCAAATATAAGTCTCTAGTTATCTTGTACTGGTTTGGCTGTGCTGGGTTGTTTTTTTTAGGAATAATTCATTTCAGTACTATGAAATAATGTTATCACATTTCTATAATATTTAATTAAATAGTTAATTTGTTTACTGTAAAGTTGCACTTCATTCATAAATATAACTCCTTATCTTAAAAAAGGTCATTATATGTATTTGCTGAAAGAAGAGAAACATTTGGAGCACAAATTGAAAGCCTTAAGTTGGAAGCTTTATAATGTCCTACTCTTCTATTGGGATATATAAATACAATGTTTGTTTCAGTGTTAGGACATGAAAATAAGATTGGGGTGAATGAAATCTACAGGGTTCTTAAACACACTTTATGTTTTCTAAAGGCTGAAGGTTTAAGGGTGAAGAATTAAAGCAAAAATGCATAGAGGTTCTACAGAGAGGAGCTCCTGCACTTGCTGCATCTCCTGCTTTGTTGACCCCCAAGGCTGGAGCAGAGGTGGACAAGGCGATCTCGTGTTGGGGACAGGCTCATGTGGCCCCAGCAGTGACTGCAGCACACAGAGGGTCTCCAGGCGGCTCTGTCCTCCCCTGAGTCTGCCTGATGTCAGAGCAACTTTCCCCAGTCATTTGTCCCACACAGGGAAGTTGTGTAATTCAGATACTACTTAGGCAACAATAATTTCTTGAGTCCTGACCTAGATAAATCAAATAATATCATAATTGGATATACTTAATTGGTGTTTGGAGGCATTTTTAGACAGTGTTTTCTATTTCCACTGGGAATATTTTCATTTTTCTGTTTATAATTTACACCACAAGTTTGTTTATTAACAATTCTTGGCATTTCTTTCATCTTCTTATGAATTTCTGCTTGAGAGCAAGGAAAGTATATCTTTGTTCTCAGGAAAGAAAAGTTACTTTGAGTTTTACTTTGAACCACCCAATGATATAACTGAAATGTCATGAATAATTTAAGCAAACATTGATGCAAATGTTACTAGAAATAATCAAGGAACTTTAGAGGTTGTAAATAAAACCGTTTTAAAGATGAAAATTGATGCAACTTGCAATTCTAATTTTGTATACATGCAAAAGTAGGACAAAATAGTATATTGGAACATATGGGAATGGAACAAACAGCACTGACACTACATGGGTGATTCATTTGTGAGTAAAAGAACTTAAATATCTTACTCTGGCTTACATATATACAGCAAGAACACTGAATTTAAGAGCCTTTTAGCTTTCTTCATGATATTTTGGAAAAGATACATCATGTAATCACAAAATGGTTTGGGGTGGAAGAGCGTTGAACACTTCCAGGGATGGGGCATCCACAGCTTCTCTGGAAAACTTGTTCCAGTGCCTCACCACCCTCACAGGGAAGAATTTCTTCCTGATATCCAACCTAAACCTACTCTCTTCCAGTCTGGATTTAGTAGCACACATCTTGCCAATAGCCTGAATGTAAATAATTGTGCCATTTGCATCTCTGTATGCTCCAACATTCTAAACTTCCTAACCTAAATGACCTTGTGGTACTTGTTTTATAATACTGTCTTGTTTCTGGTAATTTAATCAAGGAAATCACAGAGGAATTATGTTGGTGAGGGTGCCATTCACAACCATGATGTCAGGTTTTCTGGTATCTGCAAGTCTTGCTTTCTTGTTCTGGGATTTTTTTGGTTTATTTGGTTTTTATTTCTTTGGTATTTTGAATATTACAGTCCATTTACTAAGCATGTTTTATGCTTTGAGACACAGTCTGTATGTAGTATTTAGTCATAAAATTGATATTTCACCTCAGTATTTCCATGTGCTTCACATGTTTCTTCCAGCCCCCAAATGATGGTTCTGTGTAGGGGAAGGCTGTGGCCTTCACAGGGCTGTGAAGCAAGGCACAAGCTCACAGGGACTTCATCATGTGTCTCAGTACTGTCACAGCCACAGGCAGAAGCTGGGAATCCATACACACAGTAACCCATTCATGATTTGCCTCAAGAGTCCCTGAACTGCAATATGGATACTCCAAAGGGTATCCACTGTCTTTTGGATTGCACTGAGTTTTAGATAAAAAGATCCTTCCTAAATAGAATTTTTCAGACTGGCTGAAGGGTACTTCTCTCAAATAATTTTGAGTATAAATAAGCTACAATGAGATTAAGACAGCATTTCAATCAATTCAGTTGCTACCAGTCACTGTATTGGTACTGATAAAGCAAATAGATGGAGAGAAAAAAAAAGTTTGCATGGATAGTACTTTTAATAAACAGTGAAGAATAAGTACATTAACTTCTTTTTTTGATACTTTTAAAACATTATGGTAATGGTAGTGCAAAGCTATCTGATTCAGATACGATTGTGTTCCTATTGCTTATTTCTCAAGGAGAAATCTCAGAGGAGATTATAAAAGAATACTTGAAAGATTTAATTAAAATCTGTTCTCTCAGATTTAATACTGCCTAATAGTTTTAATTAATCTGGATATTCCTAATTGCTTCTGTAATTTTTGCCATGTGTAAATAGCTAATTAAAATATTAACCACCATCAAATGTAGTCTAAAATTAAATATATAAATGCTCTGTCACTGATTAAGAGGATTACATGAAGAAATAGTAAACTTTCAGGTATGAATGCTTTTTGACCGCAAATAAAGGCAGAATACCTGCAGTTAAAAGGGAAGCAGATGAAGGAAGTTCATGCAGTTTCTTACTGAGTTTATAGTTTCCTACTGAGCCAGCCAATATAAGACTTCTGTAGCTCTAGTGGTTTTTAGAAAAGTTTGGAGGTTGTTTGAAACTTCACCAGTTAGTTACAGTCCTTGAGGGACTGTCTGTCAATTGAGAGTGCTGGAATGCAATATATTCAGCCTCCTTTACTGGGTTTCAAGGACCAGATGGTAGGGGACATAGTTATGACCTACATCCTCTGAGAAAACTTCCTTTCTTATTTCCAGAGTCATGTAAAAGTTGCAGAGAGCTCTTCTTACTCCTGGATGTTGCACTACAGAATAGCCTCATATTTGTTTGTGAGCCAAAAATGGATGGTGACAAATTTAGCGTAAAGGCTGAAGGAGAATAATTTGATTCTCATGATCAGCTTGGGAACACCATCAACATGAATTCTCCATAAAGGTATCCTCTGGCATAACAACCTGTTATAATGAAATAAAAGCCAATAACCTGTTAGCTTAGACCAACTTGAACGAGTAAATTCCCGTGAGTATCTCTGTAGTGTGCCTCTTGGCCATTATGACTCTGGAATTAGCTCATGCTGAACTAATCCATCCCTGCCCCATTGCATGGATTTGCCATAACCAGGAACACAAGGAAATCTCAGGTAATTGGGTAATCAGGTGTTGGGATTTTTTAGTCGGGCAAAAGTAAAAGCTGTTTTTACTATAAAGACTGATAGAAACACTTTGCTGAAGGAAGCCAAACCAATCTTTCAGTTTCAGTTTCCACTGAAATTTGATTATTCTGGGAGCACAAACTTCAATATTTTCAGAATTTTAGGTCATTGCTCCGGGTCCTTATTTACTTAGGACATTTTCCCCTTTATAAACCTATGGACTAGAGATAATCAAATGAGATGTTTCCATATGGAATGCTATTATTATTTTTTAGTCCCCTGAAAGGCTTCTATAGATAAATTGGACAATTAGCTCTTTTAGCAGTCATTACTCACAGTGGTCCTTCTGAGTTCTATTTCAAAAATGAGATGGTGTAGACTTTTGAGTTGGCAAACCCTCGAACCAGCTGAAAAGCTGAAAAGCTCTTCTCTTTAAAATAATCTCCAAAACTGATAAACATTTCTTACAATATATAGAAAATCTCATCAGGTTTTGTCTTTTTCATTTCAGTAACATCTCAGATACAATACATTTTGCCTCCTCCATGTACATTGCAATATTGCAAGGGCTTTTCTATGTGTTTTTCCCTGTGAAAATGACAGATAGAGACTGGCTTTAGGTGCCTTTGATGGTTTTTTTTTGTTTGTTTGTTTGTTTGTTTGTTTTTTTCTTAATGGAAAACTAAGCCAAAAATAGAAGAATTTCACTTCTTATTCCGGTAGTACTTTCATGTTATCTGAGTGCTCACAACTAGCAAACATTATTTCAGGTGCAGTGCACCTGGGAAATCTTCCCAGTTATGAGTATTCTCCATGGTAGACTGGCCACTGTTAGTGAGACATGAATTTTGGAAATCATGTAGTTTATATTTCTCTCCTCTGGTTTAGAATTATTAATCTCAGCCTCAGATGAGACCCAAAGAATAGTATTCTAATGTTTGTCCCAGCTGATTTTTCCTGTAGTCTGTACTCACTATCTCCCCCAAGAAAGTCAAGGGAGCAGTTGTGTCTCAGTCCTCATACCAAAGAGTAAACTTCTTTCTAGTAGACTATATAAACAATTCTACAGCTTCTTCTGGCATAGAAACAACACTTCAACTGAGAATGGTGTCCAAGTTGTGGTGGGTTGGTTTGGGTTGGTTTGCTTTTCCCATATAATGCAAATCAGGAGTACTGGTATTAGAAAGTGTCATTTGGTTCATTAAATATTTTATTGCTGCTGAACTATTAAACATATTTTATGGCTTTGTAGTTAAATTGATGTAGGTATAAGTTACAAGAAAGTTAATGTTATGATAATACTTATACATAAATCAGATATTTTAATTGAAAATTAACAGACTAACTTGACTAAAAATGGTTCTGTTCTTAACCATACTGAATATACCAAGGGATACTGCATTTGAGCTTTTGAAATCATCCCGATATTCCAGAAAACCTGCATTAAAATGTTAAATTTCCTTTGTTTTCCTTGACATTTTGATGTGATTAGCTGAAATTACAATATCTCTTTAAAGTATGGGTAATTGTATTAATGTCATTTTTGCTTCAAATAGCGGCATGTTGCAGATAATTTTTTTATTCTGAAGCATGTTGACATTTGTGGTGATACTGTCAGAATCATAGGATTTAGCTGATGTACATTTATGAACTAATTATTTCTGGCATCCTTTAGAGAACTGAACTACCTTCCACATCAAACAATCACAATAATCTAGCATGAGATCTCTCCTCTTCCTTTTGGAGGTAGAATTTGGGTATCCTGATGGGAACCATAGGCAGATGTATCTCCTCTCTATTATTCCCAGATTTCTGGTTACAGAATATGGACAGTGTTAAGGGAATGATGCAGCTGATTGTAAGGAAAAGAAAACCTCATGAAAGGGAGCTGAATGTTCTGCAGCAGAACTGGTTATGACCCAGACTCTTCCACAAAGCTCTCAAGGCATACAAGGGAAAGAACAGTTTCCCAGATAGTCATGGTCTGTGTTTAATTTTGTTGCTTTCTAACTTTAACTGTGTAAAGAACAGGGATCTCTGGGAACAAATTCAGTGGTAACAACTGGAGCTGAGTTCTGCAGACTTTGTATTTTAAATGTTGCTCTTAAAATTCATTGTTTTCTAACACCTCACCCCTCTGCCCTCAAAGGTCTAAAGTTCATTCTTGAAATCAACTTGATCAAAATTCTTTTTTTTTCCTTTTTTGCACACAGTGTAGCCAATCAGCAGACAATACTGGTTACATTTCATTCTCCTCATAGAGATGAACCTTAGAACTTGATTGTGTGTATGTAGATTTAATGATCAATCATGTGCCTTCTAACTTTGGAAAATAAACTGTCTCTTAAGTGACAAATATGTAAGAATACATGGAAACGAAAAAAAAAACAGAGAGAAAAGCTATTTTTTCCCTTCTGTCTCATGCAGCCCAGGTTGGAAGTGCTCCTTTTCCTCTACACAGTAAGTTTGCCAATAAAAAAACATTTGGCAAATCAGGCAGAAATGTTCTGCACATGTATCTCTGTGAACAGATATTATGCAGGCTGTTTAAAAATCACAGTGAGAATCAGCAGTGGGGCTTTCTTAGTGATGCTAATGCACAAATATTGACCAAAAAAACCCAGTGATAAAACAGCAGAGAAATGTGTCAGAGGAATGATGGATTCCTAAAATGATAATGTTGTCCAACTTGTCTCATCTTCTTGCCCCATTTTTCTTCTTTCTGTTTACAGAATGCAGTGAGAGTTGTGCATAAATGCTTCCAAAATCATGGGAAATTCAGATCAAATAGGTGGACCTAGTAATTTGTAAAACACAATGAGTGTTTGATAGCCATATATGTTTAGCTTATGTTAGTTGGTGTTGTGTTGAACATCTCCTTAAACTCTTTAAAAGACTTCAGAGCTGGAGAATTATTTTGGGGATTTTCTTTTGGGGTGTTTTTGGTTTTGTGGTTTTGTTTGTTTGTGGACGTTTTTGTGTGGGTTGGTTGTTGTTTGAGCTTTTTTCTCTTTTTATAACATCTGAGGAATTCTACATCTCTGTAGATATATAAAATACTGTTAGATTTGGGAGACATTCTGTCACTGCAGAATGTAAACCTATAATATAAACTACTGTTAGATTTAAGAGATTTTCTGACACCACAGATTCTAAGTCTATAAGGGCATTCTTTATTTTTTAGTTCTTTGTATAGGTTAATCCTATTTGTTGACAATTTTGTTAAAGAACAATTCTTTGAAATTTAAATTTCACCTTTATTTATTTTCTTATTTATGCAGGAAAAAGAAAAATCTAAATCTTGGTTCAAGATGAGAGAAATTGTCAGTTTCATGTTGGTGGTCAAGTATGTGGGGTAAAGTGCATTTGTTCTTGGTTAATGGCAATCACTGTGTCATCGTGGGTATAAGCAAGTTCTCAGTGAGGCCAAAACAAAGCTGCTTCCAAAAATCAAGTATATGACTTATATAAACATATTTGTACTTAAATTCATTGGGTGATACAGTGCAGTTTCAGGAAGGAACAGCTCATCTGCTTCTGAACGTGGTGTGGCATTGAGGACGTTTGGAACATGTTTCACTGGAGTGCCAGAAAATGGCACTGGGACATGAGGAACATCTGTCTGTCCAGAATATTTCTGATAGAACTTTGGAAGCAGCTGAAGTTGCAGAAGATATTCAACTTATTTTAATTACCAGCCTTTGGAAATGAGGAGGTTATAAAGAGGAATGTGTGAAATGTACAACAGGAGAAAAAAGAAAGATAAAAGTCTATTGCTGCAGCCTGGCTACGCTTGCACCTGCCATGTCCTAGTGATTTCAGTAATAACAAATTAATACAGACCTTTCTCTCCTGTATAATATCTGGGCTAATTTTGAAAATAACCTTTCTGGGTTCTTCAATGCATCCTTGGAACTGGTGTCCTAGACACTATATTTCAGCATTTCCTTGTGTCATCTGGCATATAACTTAGCTAAGATGAGGGTGATGCATCATTTGCTGAGCTGGAATTAGAGAGTAAGTTAATTAGATGTGAGAAGTTTTGCCTTTTTGTAACAGACTAAAAACAGCTGTAGAAGATTAAATTACAGTATCATTGGGGGGGAAAAAAGCCACAGTTTAAATACAATTTTGTTCTGTGGTTAAGAAGTATTATATTTAGAACTACAGTGCTGTAATAAATTCAAAAGTTTTACATCATGTGTACATTAAGAAGAATAGAACCATAGAATTGTTTAGGCTGGAAAAGATCTTTAAGATCAAGGCCAACTGTTAACCCTGACAGAGCCAAGGCTAAATGTCCTTAGGTGACACACCTACACATCTTTTAAATCCCTCCAGGGATGGTGAGTCCACCACTGTTCTGGGCAGCCTGTGCCAGTGCTTGACAACACCTTCAGCAAAGATTTTTTTTTTTCTTAATATCCAATCTAAACCTCCTCTGACACAATTTGAGGCTGTTTCCTCTTTTTCTACCACTTGCTACTTGGGAGATGAGGCCAACCCCCACATGGCTACAACCAGCTGCATGTTAACATAACTCACCCCAAAAGCTCTGTTTATTCTTTTTTTTTGGAACTACAAATAAATCAATTTGCATCTTGCCATGAGATGTGTATGGAGGGAATCTCTGAGCCCTTGTGGTCTGACCTGTGCTCTTTGTGGGTTCAGCAGTGTAAAGGAATTTTTTACATAGTTCTGTAATTGATACTGCTGCAAATATAAACCTCACCTATATTCACATTTCTGTGTAGGATTCAGATATGTGTTTCTTTAAAAAAATTTATAGCACCAACTTATTTCAGGCTACTTTTTAATCTTCTTCTCATGTCTACAGCTTCTCCTCCATAGGGCAGTTCCTGCCTGATGGAACAAGAGTATCTGTGAAAAATTGGATACATAATGTTTGTGTTTATACTTATAGGCTACTATGAGAGAATAGAAAAATTCCAACTGAAGGAACAGCGTACTGGAACAAGTGGAGGGTTTTGTTTGTTTATTGGTTTATTTCAAAAAAAGATAAAGGCCCTTTAATCAAGTATTTTGGTGATTCTGGAACATTTTGCTTCCCATTACCTTACTTTTTTTAAAGTAATTGCCTTAATTAAGATGGAAAAGATGATTGCCTTACTCTTCTGACAGTTACAGAAAATTGACCTTGTTTTCCTTCCAGGGAGATTTAACTATGGAGCTGCTGCTTGCTTGGCTTTGGCATCATGTAGCCTGGCAGGCTGCAAGCTGCACAGAGGCCACTGCACTGAATTCATACTGTCTTATATGGAAACTCTGCCCTGGGTGAATTGGCATCATAAAATGAATCAGAGATACATGACTCTCACAGAAACAGTCCTGACTTACCCAATATCTATGAAAAATGCTCCTTTTAGATACTCACTTATGGTTTTGTGACATACATCACCTTTGTGCATTATAACCAAAAATCTAGATTGATATCCCCCTCCAAAAGGCTGTTTTAGCCTTGTGTAAAGCTTAAAATGGTAAGTTTGGAGTCTCTATAATCAGCCCATTTGAAGTTCCATATCTGAAAATCCAGCAAGTGAACCACACTTTAAACACTGATACATTTTGAATTTTAATAGACTTTATTACAAGCCTTCAAATTAAAAGTTGTCAGGAGAGATAAAAGGTCGGGGATTTGGATTCAAAGGGACTTTGATTAGACATAAAGGTCAGCAATGGTGGCAAAAAGTCAATGCATCTAAATTAAGCATAAACCTCTGGAAGAGAATATGCTAATCTTTCATGTAAAGTACTTGTCAGGATGATCTTGGCTCATATCCACAACAGTTAAACTATTTTCTGTGATGAAATTTTAACAAATGGTAATCCATGTGTAATTTGCCTGTCAAGTGTGTGCCATTTGTTTTTACAAATGTTAGATTTTAACTGCTAAGGAATCATGTTCTACTACATAATGTGCTCCTGATTAAAGATTTTGTTTTAGAATCTTTAGCTCAGTTTTTAACTGCAACTTTTTTTTTCATGGGGAATATAAAATGCAAATGGAAGAAAAGGTAAAAGAAGGAAAATCAAAACTCTAAATGTCATTGCTTTGTGTAAAACTAAGTGTAAATGTATAAATTACATTTTAATTGAGCAGCTACTTCAGGAGCTTAAAGTAATAGTAACTGTTAATATTTCTGAATGTGAAATTAAGATTCTGCACTGTTAGTGAGCAAACTCATTAAGGACATAAAAGGATGACAGGATGAAAAAGGATTTACATTTATAGAATCTTCTGTAAAATTATAACAAGTGACAGGCTCCATTTTTTGATGCTGAAATCAAGGTTGCATGTCTAAACCACACTGACACTGTGGCTGGATTTCGCATAGCTGAGAACTAATAGGAAATTAATGGAGTTTAATACAGGCCTATTGAATTCAGTCTAACTTTGTAGCTTTGATGTGGAAGAACAGAAGGCATAATTTCAGCTTTTGTTTAGTGTGCTGGACAGATAGCTCCACTAACATCTAAGTATGGTCAGGATTAAAACTGTGATGGATGGCACCGCAGCACATTCTTGACAGCTTTTCTGTTCAAATACAAATTTCTGTCACAGTCTCAGAATGTTTGAAGGAACATTCAGAGATGAAATATTGTAGCTGCAACAAGTCCAGTGTGAAGCTATTATGCTTTGAAAATAAAAATAATTACAAACTGTACATCTCCTAGGCACATATCTGTATTAATAATGAATACTAGTAAGTACACTGTAGTATACTAATGAAATGTTATTGAACACAGAAGTTTTGGAAACTGTAAGGTTATCAATCTGTCAAAAAAAGTGCCAGGATGTCTGTCTGGTTTTTGGGTTTTCTACCTGTTTTAGGCAAATAAATATTTTGGAAAGTTATTAAAGATTCTGATTTATTCTACCTTTCCCAACAGCTCTTTAGAATATTTTCTTAAACTTCTTTTTTAAAATGTTCATCAATTTCTGTATGAAAAAAAAAAATATTTCCTTTCACTTAACACAGTACTAACGCCTCAAAAAAACTCTGGTTAAACCAATGCTTTTATTGAAGCACTCTGTAGATGGAATATTGTCCTCATTATAGCAGCAAAGTAGGTCAGAACCTCACTGTTTGACAGATGTGACATACAAAGTCCCTACCTCCATATTAGCCATGAATAAAACGAGAAAGAGGCTTATTAGTGTAGGAGAATGTCTAAGCAGAAGAATTTAAAGAGCTAATACCTGTAGTGATTTTCTTCTTTGTGCTTAACCGTTAATTGAAGGAGAGACTTAAACTTTATCCCGTTGCAACCGATTCCCGCACAAGCGGGGAGTCCAGCTGACACTGCAAATGGCATAAAGCTTTGTAACATGAGCCATTGATTTAGCACAATAAGAAAGAAAATTGTACTCCATGAAGTGAGAATAAATTGTCTAACTGCTGAATCTCTGTCATGAAATCTCGTCTCTTACTCACGTGTTGTCCATGGGATGTAGTCATTTGTCAGCTTCCAAAGAACTTCCAGTTGTCCTCTGGTGCCATTGTATTCTAGGCGACCTCAGCTATCTCAGCAGGTGAGGTTGCTGTTCATGTTGAATCGTCTGTGGTCACAAAGGTCAAATTTAAGTATCAAAGAACTCAAAAGTGGAGAAGAAATATCATAAATATCTTCAACCGCACTATATATGTACTTGCTTGAGATAATGTTGATGAAAGTATCATTCCATTTTAATCCAAGTACTTTCATACATCATTCTAGAGGTAAAATAGACCCCAAATACTTAATAAATGGGCAATTAACCTGTCTCCTTGGTCTTCTTGGAATTTATTTATGTATTTCTAAATACTGTTGCTAAGTGGGCCTTGACTGTGCTCAGAGCGAAGACTGTGTTCAGTTTCCTAAGCAGCTCGGAACAGAGGGACCACCTCATTTCACACAACACTGGCTGCATCCTTGCTGCAATAATGGTCTGGTTTTATTTATTTTTGGCTTAATCTGTCAACTGTATAGCTTTTATACCAACACTTGGGATCTTCCCTATAAAAGTCATCAGTTGAAGAAACTGCTCAAGGCTGAAAAACTAAAGTACATAGAATTTATTGTAGTCAAAAATACTAATAGTCATACATAAAACAGGAGGACTGCAGAGAGATAAATGGATATGAAAAACATATTTAATATTTATTTTTAATGAAATGGGGATAAAACTACTAGGATGTGGTAGCTGTGTCTGAGTTGGGTCTGAAGACAGAATTTTAATAGTAACATTAGGAGCTGGTTAAGCTATGAAAAAGAGCTAAGCAAAGAAAACTCACCTCTATCTCCTTTATTCCCCAATTCTGTCATTTTGCGCAGTCTGCTGTCTCTCCCATGTTTTAATTAATACATTTCTTTGGATGTGTATTTTTAAAACAGAAATAATCCAATCACACCTTTCTAAAGAACTGAAAAAAGCCAACAAAAAGCCAAACAATCTAAAATCTTGTTCAATGACTGAAAATATGAAATTCCATCTAAGCAAGCAAAGCAACAGGACTTGCTGGCTAGAGAGAGATAGGAAATGCTGTTTTTAAAATTCAAAATATTTTGGTTTGACCATGTAGATTTGTAGGAGAGCCTGGACACATGGTTCCTTGGCCATGGAGCAATCTGCCTGGTGAGCCTTCTCCAGAGCAATCCCCATGTCACTGCTACAGAGAGTAGTCAACCAAGTGTAAATTTTGGCTCTGTCAGTTTTCAGGACAGTTCTTTCCCAGAGAACTTCCTGGAAGTTGCCTTAGTTGGGAAGCTGTTCAGTTATTTATTTAAGTTCAATTTTGGACTAAAATACCAAATAAGAAAATTCCCTACAGCTCAATTCTGTTCTTTCAATTGACTCCTCTAACTCCTGTCCACGCTTTTAACTAAATGTCATTGTTCCTCATTTTCTGAGGAAATCAGCATTGCTTATAGGACCAGAAACTTGTATTTTTTCACCAAAGTAGAGAGAAGAAACATATTGTGATCTGGATTTTTATGATGGATAATAAGTTGACATTAGTCTCTTAAATGGAAAGGGCTTTTAGGCTTGAATACTTTTCTTAATACCTTATTTTATGGAGAATGTGATTCCTCGAATAGGCAGGAACCTGGACATAAAGATTGTGCAAGTAAAATGAAAGACATTAAGCATCATTTAGCAGAGAAAGGGCTGCAAGGAGACTGTTACCTGGCTTGTGGTTGTGCACATATGTTATCTTTGTTTGAGTTTCCATCATGGGCCAAGGTCAAGAGCTGCCTGGAATAGGGAGTGGAAGAGTATGGTATTTTTAAGTATTTTTTAACATAGGCTGCAAATTTAGAATATAATTTTAGCATACATTTAGAGGTGTGCTATATTTAATCAGATCTTGAATTACTGACCTACTGCACCTTTCTACTGATGTTTAAACAACAGCCTGAGCAATATTTCAGTCTGTAAGACACTAAAGTTCAGGAATGAATGCATTCTTTTGCTCCCCGAGATGGCTTTACTAAGTCAATGAACTTCACCTTGAGGAGAAATGATGGCTGGACTCCCAGAGTATCTCACTGGTGTCAGGTTTAGTCTTCAGGACCACTAGCAGAAAACCATGTTGGTCTGTCACAGCACCTTCACCCAAGGCACACTGAGCAGCACATTTGATCTCTGGCAGCTGTGAGGGCACACATCCATACTAGCTGCTCTCTCCCTCTCTTATTGTTTTCCAAATAATCTGGAAGCAAATGAGTTGTGTTTGACACCAAAGCATTTTTCTGCTCTGCTGGCACAGTATGAGTTTCCTCATTCTATTTCTTTTCATCTCATCCTCTCTGAAGTTAGAAACAAACTGCTTTACAAAAAAATTACTAGGAGCTTATACCAAATGCCTTACAGATATAATATTTATGAATAAAATACTTATTTTGTAAAGCTTTTGCTTTGTGAACCTTGATGATCTAAGAATACATAACCTTTGGTATCTTCTTTTCAACTATAGGAATTGAGTAGGATTGTGTGTTTGGGCTTGCATCATGACATCAGAATGCCTCTGTGATTAAAAGTAATGTGTAAAATGAGAGTAAAGTTCTGTAAGGAAAAAAAATGAAGTAAACAAAATCAGCTTCAAACCTTTAGAAGTTCTTTTCTCAGCATGGTAGATGAATGTGTGCGCTGACCCATGCAGCTGGTGCTTGAGAGTGTAACCTGCTGAGGTGAAAGTCTGTTCATGTTTTAAGGAAACACGATTTCTCATCATAGCTGTGTTGCTAAGGGATATCTTGTACTTCTTATTCTCTGTCAGATTTCAAAGACCAACAGGAAAAAATGTTGCATTGTATTGCTTGTTCATGGAGAGTTAGGAATGAATTGCAAAAGCAAAAAAAACCTTTGAATAGACTATATAATATGTAGCTCAATTCCTCTCTTGAGATATCCCCTTCACTCACTTCTTAGGAGTCTGTGGTATTTTCCAGATTTCAGCCCTTCTCCTTAAACCAGACTTTGTGATTTCATGTTAAAGAAAGGTAATTCAGTGGCATATCACCATCTAAAGTAATGTTTTCTGCCTTACACCTTGATGTCTTTCATAGTTCTCTTTTTTCCATAATGGTAGTAGGACTGATCCAATGGAAAAATAACTCTGAAAAAGATAAAGTTTCATCTCAGAAGCCACCTGACTCATCTCTCCAGAAGACGTGTATTGGTAAGAAAGAGCAGAATTGTCCCCTTCATTTTCAGCTCAGTGTTAAACTGGCTTAGAAGCATCCTGGAACTGCACCTGTAGAAATACTAAGAGTCTCAACCACAGTGGATGTAAATTTTAAAAAATCTTATCTTTTATATAATTCATTAATCTTATAAATAACCTGAGAAAATTAAAATACCAAAAAAAAAAAGTCAGCTCCATTTGGAAAGTAAAATATATGAGCCCCAGACGTAGGAGAGCAGTAGAGCTTCCCCAGACTGAGGAATGCAAACCAGCTTTGGCATGTGGCTGCCCTCTGGTCCTCCCCAAGATTATATAAACTGGGACATGAAGAAAACTAGCATTAAAATCATGTACTGTGTAAAAGCAGTTTAATTCTCCATCTGATATCTTTAAGATACAATATTAATAATTTAGCTGAGTTTTTAGTAGCCTTTTCAGCTGTAGCCCACTAATGACAATCTTGCTTCCTAATGTTTAATGCCTGCTGTGCAAGTGGTACTTTGAACAAAATACATTTGCTTCAGGCTCTTTGACATGGCTTCACACTGAGATAAACACAATTAGCATGAGCTATTTAAAATGCTTTTCTCTTGTGCTTGTTTATAATTGGTCTTTTAAGATCCATTTTTATTATTAATTTTAAGGAATGTGTAACATATTTGATAGCACAGTGAGCATGTGTATTCAAGTGTTTTACTCTTGAGATATTCTTGGGTCATTCTCTGTAATAGTATATTCATATATAGAGACTCAAGAACTGACCAGATTGGTCCTGCTTTTAACATGCTGTACCATGGAACGTATTGTAGCAGACCACAAAAGATAATCACAGGCAGCTAGCTTACATAGCATAAAAATTTCATTAGAAAGTATTTCCAGTGAATCCTCCTTTGTATTAAAAGTCTTTTCTATATGTCATATCAAAATATCTTTTAGTAAAAAATAGTTTTGCAAAGAATGTCTGCTGAGGGGGGCTGTACTGAATATTCATAACATCTGAGTGTGTGCTGTGACATTTTAGGATAAATATTTATTTTTTTAGGTTAAACTAGATCAGAATATTATTGTTAATCTTTTTTACATCCTTTCAGGCAGCCTGTGTGAGGAAATTTTTAAATTAAAAAAGAAAAGAAAGAGATACTGTCCTCAGTGAGAGACCACATGCTCCAGGTCTCATTAAAATCAGTGCAAATCTTCTATTGACTTTGCTGAGAGCGAATCTTCTCAGCATGGTTTTTGAGGTGTAAAGGGAAGAAAAGACATGCCTTGAAAAATCACAAATGTCTGTTAGGGCCTTCAAGGGCAAGGCTGTTGTACGATATATTTTGTGCTCTCCTTTCCATGCTGCGACTTGCTGACTGACTGAAACATCTCTACCCAATTTCCTGGCTTTTTGTAGGGTTTAGTCTAAAAGTACAGCCCTCACGGCAGCATCAGAAGGGAAACAGTTCCTCGCATGTTCCTCAATCTGTGTACCTGGGCAGGTGACAACTATAATTGCTTTTTAATGGCTGGATTTGAAAGAGTGTGCTGGTTTTGCATTAATTGACATTTGTTGAGGAGGGAAGAAGCCACCCATGGGAATGATTTTTCTGAGAGAAGGTGCTAAGGAGCTTCCTCTGTGCCTAGCAAAAACAAATAGCTGTCCAGCTCTGAAAATTGACAACCTACTGAACCATTTAGAAGCTGGGTCCACCTCTGTGAGATTCACATTTTAAAGACAGGCAAGCCCGGGAAATCTCTCTTGCCTTCGGAAGAGGTAACTGGGTGCCGGTCGGGCCGGCCCTGCACGGCCGGGCTGGGCCGGCCCCACGGGCCCGGCCGAGATTTTCTGCTCCCTGAGGGGCTGTGGGCGGGCTGCCGAGCCCCTCAGCGGGGAGTGCACCGGGCCCCGTCCTGACGGGCGGCTGGGGCCCCTTCGCTGCGGGGCCGGGCCCCTTCTCGGCAGAGCCCGCCGGTCCTTTTTCCTGCAGCACTGCCGGGCCGTGCCAGCCGGGGGCTGCATCGGCGCTGGGAGCGGCCCCGAG